AAAAAAAAAAAAAAAAAAAAAAATCTTCCAAACGGCGATTCGTATCTTGAAAAATCTCTCAAGTTGGGTCACACAAATCTGTTCCCATAGCCTGAATTCCGGCCAGCTTTCTTCTTCGGGGAGCAAAGTAGTTCAGAGTGAGCATGTTCCATTTTGTCTCCCTTGCAAGTGATTGGCAATCAATTCCATCATCAATCTTGAAGTAATAGGTGACAAATCATCCTGGCATCCTTCAGCACAGCCGTCATCTGGCGCCACCTCCTCCTCCTCACTGCCGGGCTCAACAATTCAGTCCGTTCAAATAAATCGACACTGCAATTCCGTTTATTTTTTTCTTCAGGAAAAAAAATCTACCTGATATTGAATGTAACCCTTAATTCATAAATATTACTAAATATATTACAATGGTATATTGCATATTATATTGTTGTGATCTTATGGTGAAAGTTGGGCGTGCTCGAGAAAAAAGGGGTGCAGATTGTGAATCTGCACCAAAAAAAAAAAAAAAATCTCAAATCTATCTGACCGGTGTCATTGTTGTCATCCGATTTCTGATTTTGTGGCTTCCGTTTCGGCCAAACTTGTTTGGTCGGAGTCAACACTTAAAAGACTGCGGGTCAAAGTCTTTAGTATGCTAACATCTCAAAATGAAGTCGAGTAATTCACTTTCCTTTATTTTGTGTTAGAAATCCAACATTGCTGATTGTAAAACATATTCTTTTTTTTTTCTTGACAATAGTCGCACAGTAAAAATAGTAAAAAAGAAAAAAGCGAGTGGGCGCTCGGTGGTCTTCATCTAGGTTAGAGGACACAAGAGAGGCAGAGAGAGACAACTGGCAGCTTGTATTTTTGCTCGCTCTCTCTCTTTCTGACATACATTGTGTATGCACTTCAAAGTAGGAGTTGGGGGGGGGGGGGCTACATAAATTTGTCATGCGGTGTGCCACTTTTAATTTTCATGCTCACGTGTACCCGCCTGCAATTTGATTTCTCTGCGCAGGATTTCATTGCTTTGAGATTTTCAATTTAGTCACGACAGGACAGGAAAAACCCACCAAATGTTGCCCTGTGACAATCTAAGTGCCGAAGCTACCCGGGGGAAAGAGAGTCGACTCATCCTTCACCAGGACAAAAAAAAAAATCATTTCAAGCCTTTTCCCCCGTTTTTTTAGTGGGCAACAGAAGAACATGGCTTGCTTTCACCAAAAACACCGGCTTCCGACCAAGAAGCAGAGAACAGCAAGCTTTTTGTGGAAAAAAAACATGTCAAGCAGAGCAGTGACTTTGATGCGAACACTCTTTATTCGGAGCACGACTGAGACATGCCTGATGAGCGAAGCATTTCACAAAACTGATTTGTGGGCAAGACGTTCAAATAAAAAAAACAGGTTTAACAGCACAGAGGTGTAGGGTTCAAATCCAGGTCTTGGCATTCCTCTGGGGGGTTTGCAAGTGAAGCTTTTTTTGAGAGACCAGGTATGTAAATGCCTTTTTGGTTTGTTACTTAAGAGTTTGTGACTGCAGCGCCACCGTGGTCCACTGGTTTGGGAGTCAGCTTACCAGCGCAGAGGTGCAGGGTTTGAATCCAGGTCTCGGCCTTCATCCACAGAGTTTGCATATATAGTCAGGCTTTTTCAAATGAACATGGAAAGGAAGTAAGGTGTTTTTAGCCGAAAAAAATGACCATGTATAGTAAGGCCTTTTTAGCCGAAAAAAAACGACCATGTATAGTAAGGCCTTTTTAGCCGAAAAAAAACGACCATGTATAGTAAGGCCTTTTTAGCCGAAAAAAAACGACCATGTATAGTAAGGCCTTTTTAGCCGAAAAAAAACGACCATGTATAGTAAGGCCTTTTTAGCCGAAAAAAAACGACCATGTATAGTAAGGCCTTTTTAGCCGAAAAAAAACGACCATGTATAGTAAGGCCTTTTTAGCCGAAAAAAAACGACCATGTATAGTAAGGCCTTTTTAGCCGAAAAAAAACGACCATGTATAGTAAGGCCTTTTTAGCCGAAAAAAAACGACCATGTATAGTAAGGCCTTTTTAGCCGAAAAAAAACGACCATGTATAGTAAGGCCTTTTTAGCCGAAAAAAAACGACCATGTATAGTAAGGCCTTTTTAGCCGAAAAAAAACGACCATGTATAGTAAGGCCTTTTTAGCCGAAAAAAAACGACCATGTATAGTAAGGCCTTTTTAGCCGAAAAAAAACGACCATGTATAGTAAGGCCTTTTTAGCCGAAAAAAAACGACCATGTATAGTAAGGCCTTTTTAGCCGAAAAAAAACGACCATGTATAGTAAGGCCTTTTTAGCCGAAAAAAAACGACCATGTATAGTAAGGCCTTTTTAGCCGAAAAAAAACGACCATGTATAGTAAGGCCTTTTTAGCCGAAAAAAAACGACCATGTATAGTAAGGCCTTTTTAGCCGAAAAAAAACGACCATGTATAGTAAGGCCTTTTTAGCCGAAAAAAAACGACCATGTATAGTAAGGCCTTTTTAGCCGAAAAAAAACGACCATGTATAGTAAGGCCTTTTTAGCCGAAAAAAAACGACCATGTATAGTAAGGCCTTTTTAGCCGAAAAAAAACGACCATGTATAGTAAGGCCTTTTTAGCCGAAAAAAAACGACCATGTATAGTAAGGCCTTTTTAGCCGAAAAAAAACGACCATGTATAGTAAGGCCTTTTTAGCCGAAAAAAAACGACCATGTATAGTAAGGCCTTTTTAGCCGAAAAAAAACGACCATGTATAGTAAGGCCTTTTTAGCCGAAAAAAAACGACCATGTATAGTAAGGCCTTTTTAGCCGAAAAAAAACGACCATGTATAGTAAGGCCTTTTTAGCCGAAAAAAAACGACCATGTATAGTAAGGCCTTTTTAGCCGAAAAAAAACGACCATGTATAGTAAGGCCTTTTTAGCCGAAAAAAAACGACCATGTATAGTAAGGCCTTTTTAGCCGAAAAAAAACGACCATGTATAGTAAGGCCTTTTTAGCCGAAAAAAAACGACCATGTATAGTAAGGCCTTTTTAGCCGAAAAAAAACGACCATGTATAGTAAGGCCTTTTTAGCCGAAAAAAAACGACCATGTATAGTAAGGCCTTTTTAGCCGAAAAAAAACGACCATGTATAGTAAGGCCTTTTTAGCCGAAAAAAAACGACCATGTATAGTAAGGCCTTTTTAGCCGAAAAAAAACGACCATGTATAGTAAGGCCTTTTTAGCCGAAAAAAAACGACCATGTATAGTAAGGCCTTTTTAGCCGAAAAAAAACGACCATGTATAGTAAGGCCTTTTTAGCCGAAAAAAAACGACCATGTATAGTAAGGCCTTTTTAGCCGAAAAAAAACGACCATGTATAGTAAGGCCTTTTTAGCCGAAAAAAAACGACCATGTATAGTAAGGCCTTTTTAGCCGAAAAAAAACGACCATGTATAGTAAGGCCTTTTTAGCCGAAAAAAAACGACCATGTATAGTAAGGCCTTTTTAGCCGAAAAAAAACGACCATGTATAGTAAGGCCTTTTTAGCCGAAAAAAAACGACCATGTATAGTAAGGCCTTTTTAGCCGAAAAAAAACGACCATGTATAGTAAGGCCTTTTTAGCCGAAAAAAAACGACCATGTATAGTAAGGCCTTTTTAGCCGAAAAAAAACGACCATGTATAGTAAGGCCTTTTTAGCCGAAAAAAAACGACCATGTATAGTAAGGCCTTTTTAGCCGAAAAAAAACGACCATGTATAGTAAGGCCTTTTTAGCCGAAAAAAAACGACCATGTATAGTAAGGCCTTTTTAGCCGAAAAAAAACGACCATGTATAGTAAGGCCTTTTTAGCCGAAAAAAAACGACCATGTATAGTAAGGCCTTTTTAGCCGAAAAAAAACGACCATGTATAGTAAGGCCTTTTTAGCCGAAAAAAAACGACCATGTATAGTAAGGCCTTTTTAGCCGAAAAAAAACGACCATGTATAGTAAGGCCTTTTTAGCCGAAAAAAAACGACCATGTATAGTAAGGCCTTTTTAGCCGAAAAAAAACGACCATGTATAGTAAGGCCTTTTTAGCCGAAAAAAAACGACCATGTATAGTAAGGCCTTTTTAGCCGAAAAAAAACGACCATGTATAGTAAGGCCTTTTTAGCCGAAAAAAAACGACCATGTATAGTAAGGCCTTTTTAGCCGAAAAAAAACGACCATGTATAGTAAGGCCTTTTTAGCCGAAAAAAAACGACCATGTATAGTAAGGCCTTTTTAGCCGAAAAAAAACGACCATGTATAGTAAGGCCTTTTTAGCCGAAAAAAAACGACCATGTATAGTAAGGCCTTTTTAGCCGAAAAAAAACGACCATGTATAGTAAGGCCTTTTTAGCCGAAAAAAAACGACCATGTATAGTAAGGCCTTTTTAGCCGAAAAAAAACGACCATGTATAGTAAGGCCTTTTTAGCCGAAAAAAAACGACCATGTATAGTAAGGCCTTTTTAGCCGAAAAAAAACGACCATGTATAGTAAGGCCTTTTTAGCCGAAAAAAAACG